ATAATATTCAATTCAGAAAGAACAGCTTCGAAGCGTCTAGTCACATGTTAGCCCGTAAGATACGTATTTGGCAGTAGAAAAAAGACTATGTTTGAGAACAAGAAAAAATATTTGAGGTGCTCGAAAGTTCACTTGAAATATCTTACAAAGCATAACCAAGTTTTTTAGTTAACCCGAAGTGTTTGTCAGCTGGGTCACATTCAGGAGATAAGTCGCGAGGAAAGTGCGGAATACTATTGATTAAACCTATGCCTTCGATTCTACAAAGCAGATTCAATCGGTGCTCATTCCTTCACTACTTCAGACCGCAACATTGTCAGGGCATTGTAAATCAGGAAGAAACCTAACTGATGTTCAGAAGAAAATTGAATCCAAGTAAATTCCTTTATTTTCGACGTAAAACAGATTAAAAGGCATACATAAAATGTAGGTCACTATGTGTAGTTTCGGACGTCCGGTAATGACCTGCATCTGCTTTTTAGGAATTAAGATAAAACCTAACCATCCACACTAGATTGGGTAGAGTGGGTTTTAAACAGTGACCCACTGGTTAAAGGCTGAGTGCATGAATCGAGACGCTGCTGCTGTGGGCTCTCAAAATATTACTTAGCTAAAGTTATCACATTCTTTGAGACGACAAAGACCATTGGTGAGGATTGTAAAACTGTAGTGAAAAGAACTGGTATCACATGTGGCGAATGGATAAAATAAAAATGGAACAACAGTTTTAAATATCATATGAGAAACAGCTCGTGATTGCAGAAAATAAAAAATGTTCTCATCCACTGAAACGACAAGAAGAAAAGGTGAAGTTCTGTCTCGGATAGCGATTGAGGGGCCACATAGCTTGACATGATCTCAGCAGTCCAATACTTGAATGAAGTCTCCTCGGTAGGTTGAGAAAGCGATGTGCTCAACAGCTTCACCAATACTGTCCCGTTAATAGGTACAATGCACGTACAGAATTCTTTTAGTTGCTCAGTAACCTTTGGAGTGTGTGATCCCCGTGTTCGGGCGTTTTGCACCATAGTTTATCTTCAAAACCTGACGTTGTTGCGTGGTCAGCTGCTGCTGTCAACATGCCCATGATGTTAAGTCGTTAGTACACACCATTTTCATGCACACAAATATAGCTTTTAACAAGATATTTTATGTTAAAGTATTACTGAGGCCCTTCTTTTGCCCTTGATGCTATATTCCAAGCCTAGATTTCTGTGCGATAGTAACGGTTATTGGGATACTGCCTAGAACAATCCTGGGTCTCGTCTATTTCCCTCTGTACATGAACGAATGGCCGGGAATGGTCAAATCATAAGTGCCTCTATTTGTTGCTAATGTAAAGATTTGGAATCACATAGTGTGATGCTGATACGTATGTGCTTCAAGCGGGACTGGATGAACTGGTAGGCTGGTCTTGATGTTGATGCTTTCAAGTCAAATCTAGTGAGAGCAATAAACCACACTGGTCTTAGTATTTTTTTTTTCCATTATTCTGTTGACGATACACCACTACTTTCAGTTCTGGAATAAAAAGACTCAGGTATCATCATAAGCCATGATCTGAAAAAAACGCACCCTGCAATGTAACTCCAAAGGAAGGTTTTAGTGTTATGGTCCCTACGCAGAGCTTCCAGAAGTTTTGAACAGAATACTCTATTTTACCAATGTAAGATATCATTGAGAATTCTAAATTAAAGTAGTCAGTCTATACCCAAAACGTGTTTCAAAAAAGTTTGCGCTAAGCTTGTGATCAGCCTTTCCAACCTCGTCTACGAGGAACAGTTACAGCCGTTTAATCATAGGAACACACGCACACAAGCTGAAGGTTCGACCGGAAACTATTCGACACTGTCAAAAGGCTGGACTGCACGAGAATATTGGTGATGACACTCTCTGGCGGTCGGGCAGAAAGCTGTCCAGACCGGACTACCTTTTCACCAGTGACCACCTGCTGGTAGAAAATGTACAGGTTCAAACCCCCCTCGGCAGCAGCAATCGAGACGTGGTTGCGTTTGATCTGGTACTCAACGAATGACTGTCATGCGAGGGATCTCGCCCTTGTCTTTGCTACAGCAAGGCAAACCAAGTGGCGATGAACCAATACCTGTCGACAGCACTATGGCCTCAGGAGTGGAGCAATCTGTCGATTGATCAACGTTGGGAACTAGTTAGAGATATCATCAAGAGTGCTATCTCTGAAAACGTCCCTGTAATCACAGCAATACTGCGGAAGCGAACCTCATGGCTGAAACAAGGCACTGAATGCCTTTTGAAAGCCAAAAGGAAAGCATGGCACAAGTGGAGGACCTCCAGAAAATAGTATGACCCCAATGCATATATGGTCCCAAGAAGTCGATGTGGCATCAGACTGAGGAGAGACAGAAGGTCATTCCAGACGAACCTTGCCCAAAAGCTCGAGGCAAATCCCAAAAACGTATACCGGTTTATAGCAGGCAGAAAATCCACCAGCCAGGGGGCTTGCGTCCTGAGAGGCCTAGACGAAGAGAACCTCTCCGGACTAGAGATCGCTGAAGCCTTTAGCGCCACCTTCGACACACCACTGAATACGTCCCTTACCAACTGTCCGACCATGACTCAGCACCACCAAATGCAGTAGAGTTACCTGGAATAAAGGTAACTCCTGCTATGGTCCTCGAAAAACTGTCGAAGCTCCGCGCAGGGAAATTACTAGGGTGTGATGACATCCAACCGGCTGTGCTGAAACAATGCGAGGGTTCCTTGTGCGGTCCGCTGTGTAACTTGTTTCAACACTCCCTAGACAATCACATGCTTCCACAAGAGTGGAAAAGTGCTATTCTGTCCCCCATCTTCAAAGGTGGAGACAGGCAGAACCCAAAATGCTACCGACCCATAGCCCTTCTACCAGTGGTGTCCAGAGTAATGGAGAGTCTGGTAGACGACCATCTCAGGGAGTACTTAGGAAAGAGGGTAGCACTAAGTGATGCTCCACACGGTTTCAGAAAGGGTAGGTCCTGTGCTACAAACATTCTGGCGGCAGGTGATAAGTGGACGGCATGCTAGGACCTCCAAATTCCTGCCCATGTTATTTTCCTGAATTTTACTTAGGCCTTCATCATAGTTCCACACACCGTTCTTATTCACAAAATCGAAAGGTTGGGCATCAAGAGACAAGTGCTTTCATGGTTGCAGGACTATCTAGACGGTGGACAATTCTGCACAAAAGCCAACAGAGTTTGCTTGACTTGAAGGACATCATCATCTGGTGTATCAAAAAGGGCAATTCTGGGTCCGCCGCTATTCCTTCTTTTTGTGAATGACCTCACACTGAATCTCAGCTTCCCAATTCTACTCTACGCTGATGATGTTAAGCTATGCAGAGCTGTGACGTCAGAAACAGAATCAAGTGCACTGCAAAGTGGTCTCAGATTACTTGCAGAGTGGGTGGATATTAATTGACTCACATTTAACCTAGACAAATGACGAGCCATGTTTCTCCGCACCCCAGACTTTCAGAAAGTACCCTATTCTCTCTGTGGAACACAACTCTCCCACACCACCGCAGAGGAAGACCTAGGACTAACACTAACTGACAAACTAAACACTAGCCCTAATTATCCAGGACATGCCTCCAGAGCCTACGCAGTACTGCACTTCATGCGCAGACAATTGGGTGCTCTGGCCCCAGAACTCTTTTTGAAGCTGCATAAGACCTATATACGACTCCACCTAGAGGTACGCAACGTCACTGCACCACCATATCTGAAGAGACGTGAACCTCCTGGAGAAAGTCCAAGGGCGAGCTACAAAGGGTGTCGTGGGAATGAGGAAAAAACCATATCAGGACAGGCTGAAAGATCTAGGGCTCTACTCCATAAACTACCTCAGATTACGTGGTGACAATAACGGCTTATAAAATACTAAGTAATCCTAACAGTGGAATCCTACTGAACAGCCACTATGGTGATCCTCGTGGTAACCCAAGGAGAATCACCCACCAGAGAGCGAAAACCAGTGTGCCATCACACTTCTTCTCCCTGCGAGTTCGCGGCCACTGGAACGCATCACCTGCCGAGATTGCTACTGCCCCGTCTGTTGACAGCTTCAAGAAGAGGTTGGACAGTACGCAGCGACACACGGTTTGCGCTCATCCAACTGGGATGTGGACTAGGCTAACACGACTTGCTAACTCGGTCCGACCAACCGTTACTGAACACTGTAAAACCACTGTCACTGAGAACTTGGCTCAACTTTATACCTTCCTGTAGACGTCCCCTCTAGTTACCGTCTCCTACTAAAAGAATTACTATATTCCCATGCGTCCTATCATGTGATTTATTATTCTTCCTTTTGACTTTACGCTCTCAAACTTTAACGAAGGCTCTCCCTATCACCTATTCCCCATGAACCGACCAATGTTTTATTCTTCCCTGTTGTCTCCTTTTTCCTAGTCTTTTTACACATTCTGCTGCCTGTTTTCCTTTTCTTTTTTTATTTTGTCTCTCTGCACTTTCTCTTCCTTGATTTCTCTGCACATATTTCTCATCTCTTTTTTACAGCCAGTTCAAACCAATTGTTTGCTGACACGACATTCGAGGAACCCATCTGCACCACAGTCCTCGGAAGAAAACGCAAACAAACAAACAACACTCCCAACAAATCTAACCAACACCCAACCGCCCGTCGGGCTAACGAGAGCTACAACAGTCGAGTGGGTAGACCTACTGCATTGGAATCCACCAAAGGCTTGGAACCGTTCCGCAAGACCTAGAAGCGAGCGCGAAGAAATCAATTGGTTTACAGTAGCTCGTTAAAAGATATTGGATATTGGACCTCTAGGAGCAAGATACCTAAAACAAGGTGGCCAAACCACAATAACATCTCATCACTGAAGGTGGACTTAACCTTCTGCTTTTTACTAAGATATCAAATGCGAACATTAGTTCGTTACATTAATCAGGAAAACAGCCAACAGAAAAACAAATAGAACTCGTGCAATGCAAAGACACCTTCTAACCTACCGCTACAGCCGTTGTCGATTGTCACATTCCTCAAGGTCTTTCAATGTCCACTAACTGGAACCAAACAAACTGTTTCTTCGTACACTTTCTGAATCTTTCAAAACACTTTCAGGTCTAAGATGTGTTCTGATGCAGTTATAGGTAACTAATGTATTACCCAGTACCTTTATAAGAGCTAGTGTAGAACTTGGGCACTGTGTTAGGCTGCGCAATACCTATACCAGATGTAGAAAACTTTACTACCAATAAAAGTAAGGGATTTCAGCCGACAGGACTAGAAAAATCAGATATGGAAGGCAGCGTGAGTATGTAGACATGATTGTGAGTAACAATTTATGCTCAAAACGTCATCAGGTACAATCGCTGTGAATCACTGTGAGTTATATTGTAGCGTCATACACTTCCCCAAAATCAATAGCCTAGGGTTTGACGACTTTCGACATTGATGCTGACCTTGATAGTTTAACTGGACTCGCTAAGCTGAAGGCACCCGGTCAAGCATCCTCGCCATTTGGCACGCTGTCGTGTTACGTTGCATTGCTCGTATTCGACTCTCTAGCCAGTTAGTTGGAACGCATCGGTATTTTGGCATAACCATCCAAATATACTATTCCATCCGACTACGCTATCGTGTTCTTCCTTGGTCTCGTATTCGTGGGTATATAACAAGTTCGAATAATTAGTGATTGGTCTTTGCGTCTGTCAAGTTCGCACCAGGACAAATCCTAAATTGGTGAGCCCGACGTGATCACATATCCCGACCAATAACAAGTATTGAATTGGTGAGCCTGTTCCATTTTATATTTGTTTATTGTTTTCATTTCGATAACATTTATATATCCATTTACTACACTTTCTCATGTCCGACCACACTCCCAAGCTTATTCGTATTAAGCCGACTACGAACACGATCCAACTCGTGCCATATTGGCCAGACAATGCAGAAACATGGTTTCTGTATGCCGAGGCAGATTTTCGAGAACAGGGTGTCTCAGATCCTCATCTCGATTTCTTGCTGTCATCCGGTCACTACCGCGAGAATTAAACAGGTATGTTACAGCAAACATGTTTAATCCTGAAGTAAGTGACCCTTATGCACTTCTAAAGGCCGCACTCTTGAAGAAAAGCGATCTCACAGATCGCCAACGTCTAGACGAATTGCTTCGTAACATCGAGCTAGGCAGCCACTCAGCTACTGAAGTCCTCGCACGCATGCGAGAAGTAATCGGTGCACGAACATTTGACGATGGTTTCTTCCGAGAACTATTTCTCTCGAAACTACCACAACCGGTGCAAACCGTGTCAGTCCCACTCGACGACCTGGCAGCCTCAGCAGATAAAATACTGGAGATATCCAGCAGACCCGTCTCCAACGTATATTCTATCTGCGACAAACCAGAGCGCCAGGATTCGGAGGTGACCAAGTTGTGCAACTCTGTGAAACGGTTGCTACGATCTCGAAGTCCTAGATCACGTAGCACTTCACAGAAACGCACCTTGGCGCATCGCAGCAAGTCGCGTGGTAGCCCTAAAACGAAACCCAACAGGGTGGAAAACCCTGAATGGTGCTGGTTTCATAACACTTACGGGGATGAAGCCAGAAAATGTCGTAAACCATGCCGTTTTAAGAAGGACACAAACTCGGGAAACGGTCACGCCGGCACGTGCTCACGGCAACCGTAGCCGGCGGAAAAAGCCGTTTGCTCTACGTCCGACATAAAAACGAAAGTCCGCTACCTCGTCGACACCGGCGCAGAAGTTAGCGTTCTTCCAGCAACGACAAAGGAGCGTCATCTTGACCCATCCTTCAATCTTCAAGCAGCCAACGGCAAGGCAATCGCGACATTCGGGAGACGGTATGCCTACCTCAACTTAGGTTTACGCAAACCTATTCACTGGATTTCCTCCTGGCTGACGTCTCTATGCCCATCATTGGCATAGATTTGCTAAACCATTACGATCTACTCGTAGATGCTCGCCGTCGACGACTGATAGATAACAGCACAAAGTTATCCATTGGCGGCACCACCTATGTAGGTCCGAGTTTAGCCATCGTTAGGACTAAACAATCAGGCGACGCGTCCTACCAGGCAGTTCTGGAGTTACAGCAACCGAAGCACACTCTTCCGTGCATAACCAGCAATGTTATGCATCACGTCACAACCACAGGTCCACCTGTGGCATCCAAAGCGCGCCGTTTAGCCCCCGATAAGCTCCAAACGGCGAAAAATGAATTCGACCACATGCTCGACCTGGGCATTATCAGACCGTCGAACAATCCTTGGGCATCGCCATTGCACATGGTTCCCAAAAAGGATAGCAACGACTGGCGTCCAACCGGTGATTACCGAAGGCTCAACGCCAAAACAACTCCGGACTGCTACCCGATACATCAATACAAACCCTCGTATACTTTGCCTTTTTATATCAATTTTTATTACCATGTAATGAAATTTTAAAAAAAAGTGAAGATAAGCGTAAATTTTTATTTTTCGATATGTTTATATATAAATAATTCCCATTTTTACGAAACGTTTTCGTGGTATTAAAGACTTTTATTTATATTCCAGGTGCAACGAGCACTGGACGGAACGTCGAAAGGAACAGATGACCGCGACCGACGTACAATTCCATTTATTGTATTTTATTTATTTAATCGCCACGACACCCTAGAATAAGGTTCAGACAACCAGGGGCCACCTCACGCAGTGAGCCCATCGGAAGAGTTTTACCAGTGGAGAAACCACTGGGTTTTTACTTCCGGCTGGTATCGTCTTAGGGTCCTCACGAACCCACTAGGGGGGAAGTGATCTGTAGCGTCATACACTTCCCCAAAATCAATAGCCTAGGGTTTGACGACTTTCGACATTGATGCTGACCTTGATAGTTTAACTGGACTCGCTAAGCTGAAGGCACCCGGTCAAGCATCCTCGCCATTTGGCACGCTGTCGTGTTACGTTGCATTGCTCGTATTCGACTCTCTAGCCAGTTAGTTGGAACGCATCGGTATTTTGGCATAACCATCCAAATATACTATTCCATCCGACTACGCTATCGTGTTCTTCCTTGGTCTCGTATTCGTGGGTATATAACAAGTTCGAATAATTAGTGATTGGTCTTTGCGTCTGTCAACTTCGCACCAGGACAAATCCTAAAATATATCAAACAATTAAATTCAATATGGAACTAGTGTAAAGCATTTGACTTCTTCGCGCTCACCTTTAGGTCTTGCAGAACGATTCCGGTTCTTTGGTGGATTCCGATGCATCAGGTCTACCTATTCGTCTTGTGTAGCGCTGGTGAACTGGATGGGTCTTTTGGTGCTGATTAAATTTGTATGGATTACATAACCTGCCCTAGAAGTAGGGTATACATGGGTTCCCCAAATGCAGTGCCAGCAGATGGCTGCAAAAATGAAGGAGAAAGATTCACAAGAATGAAAAAATATCCACCCAAAACAAACTAGAGTAGGTGAGAAAAGGTGAAAAGCAGTGGAACAGAGGGGAAGGAGAAACCTAGGTAGATTCAGCATAATTGACAGAGATAAGGATCACCTTATCAAATAGGGTGAGAGCATAGAGTAAGAGGGAAGAAAAGCAGAAAGCAAGATTATGAGATGGGCTATGGGGATTAAGATACAAATGTTATCATTGGGGGCATAATAACCGGAGGTGGGACGTGCAACAGGGAAGTAAAGGATTGAGTCAAGTTTATGACAATGGTCGTAGTATAAAATAGCAGTCATGAGACGAATGTACGGGGATTCTACCGAAAACAGTCGACTGTCTTGGCCCAGTAAATATGGCGGCTGAATGGGTGCAAGCCGCTTGTCGCTGCCCATATGTCCAACCTATTCTTGAAGCTGTCCACAGACCGAGGAGTAGCAATTCCTGCAAGCAACGCTTTCCAGTGCCCACAGGTTCGCGGAGGAAAAAGTGCGGACACACACTAACAGCCCACCCAAAAAGTTTTTGGTTTCAACTGTTTTCTAAACCGCTTACGATGTAAACATGTGTGTGCATGTACTAACAGGTGATCAGTGTTCAAGCAGATAGTTCAGAAATAGTGAGAATCCTCGACTAGTTCCCTCTGAAAATATTTTATAGCATTATAGGCTATCTGCGTCCATCGTTGGGTTGTTATCGGAGGACACCAGGTGAGAAGGCGCCTCCGCCCGTGTTCGAATTGAGTGCTGGCAAGAACGGGTGACTGCCAGGACCAAATCGAAGTGGACGACCGCCGCAAAGGTTCATTGGCATTATATAACGCCAGAACCTCACAGGCCCCTTTCAAGTAGGTGCAGCTAAGCTATATAGGCGTTAAGGTCATGCGCCAATATGAATACACCTGAACATTTGTTCTTAAGTGGGTATGAAAGCTTCTGACAGAATGCACATTTTACTTAAGATGTGGTCAGCAGTTATGCAGGTAAAGACCACGGATACATACTGGTGAATGACGGATAAACTTCCATTTCTCGTAGATAAATTCATCGAATAATTTTGTTAAAGTGAGATGCTCACACGTAGAAAAGTTGTCGTGGATGTTATTTCTCGATATTCCTCAGCTTTTCTGCAGCCCGTAGAATGTAATCCTCGTGATAAAAAACAAGGCGTGAAACGTGCCGTCATAAACTGACAAGAATGTCTTGATTGAGGTGGAAGATAACAAAGATGTGGGCTGACTGAAGCAGATGAGACTTGATGTTATTGATGCTATTTAGAGGCTAACTATTCATATGGTGGTAGAATGAACATTCAACAGGAGACACTTAAAGATGGGAGAGGGCTGTATACGATGACATTTCAGAACTGGTAAGAAATGATATAAAAGGCAAGGGTTTCTCATTACACTGAACGACAAGATGAGGATAAGTGAGAATGTGAAAGTTAGTTTTGAAGAAGGTTAAAATATGGGATTAAAAGACAGAACGTTGTAAGTTTCAGGATATACACCAATATGGTAGTTACAGTGGAGAATGAACATGAAGACAGATTCAGCTTCTCCGACCTAGTCATAC